CACCAAGCCCTTGGCAGCTATTACTGCCATTTTCTAGGCCTCTGCATGGGCAGTGGGCAAGGCCCAGAGGCACCAGAGGACTGCCCATCACATGCCCATCCCGTGAACTACCAGAAGGCACAAGATGCAGGAAGAAATTCCTTGATATCTGCAGTGGTTTTCTAACTGGTAATCAGCAATGTCTGAGGGGGTCGGTGGGCGTCTTTGTAGACATGCCCATCACTTGATCTTGCATCAGGCAGGGGCATCTTGGTGAATGAGGATCCCACTAGTCACAGGGGAGCAGAACTGCAAGGAGAGCGGTCAGGTCCACTGCACTCGGCACAGTGCACCCAACCCGCCTTTCTGACGCAAGGCTGGGAACAAGATTCTAGTGCAGGGCTACAAACTCATGTTCCCAGGGGCTGCAAACTCAAGTCATGAGGAGCACTGCAGCTAGTGATGAGGTGGACAGACTCTGGAACCTGCTCACCTGCGCCTGGAGTCCCAGCTCCCCAGCTTATAGCAGATGGCTTTGGAAAGTAACTGCACTTCTCTGTGCCTCTGTTTCTTCATGTCAACAGGAGTGACAGTGATACTTACCACACAGTGCTCTTGAGGAGTTTAAATGAGTCTGTGTCTATACACGTGTGTTTGTAAATTAAAACAGTACCTGACAATAGGTTGGGTGTGGTGGCTCACACCTGTAATCCCAGCACTTTGGGAGGCCAAGGTGGGTGGACCACAAGGTCAGGAGATTGAGACCATCCTGGCTAACATGGTGAAACCCCGTCTCCACTAAAATACAAAACATTAGCCCGGTGTGGTGGCACGGGCCTGTAGTCTCAGTTACTCAGGAGGCTGAGGCAGGGCAATCTCTTGAACCCGGGAGGCAGGGGTTACAGTGAGCCAAGACCGTGCCACTGCACTCCAGCCTGGTGACAGAGTGAGACTCTGTCTCAAACGATAAAAATAAAAAATCAATAAATAGTACCTGACAAAACAAAGATGTAGGGGGGAAAGAAAAAAAGATGTAGAAACTTCTCTGTACTTGTTAGCTATTTTTTTAAACTAGTAACCCAACTGAGTCAAGTTGGACACATATGAGGTGTAAGAAATAACATGGGACAGGAAGCTGTGGCTCACGCCTATAATCCCTGCACTTGGGGAAGTTGAGGCAGGAGGATCATTTGAGACCAGACAGTGCAAGACCAACGTGGGCAACAAGGCAATATCCTACCTCTACAAAAAATAAACCCAGTTAGCCAAGCGTGCTGGTGCACACTCTTAGCTACTCAAGAGGCTGAGGCAGGAGGATTGCTTGAACCCAGGACTTTGAGTTTACGGGGGGCTGCGATCACAACACTGCACACCATCCTGGTAGGAGAGCAAGACCCTGTCTCTGACAAAAAAAGAAAGAACACAGTGTCTCAATTTATCTGCTGTTAACATTAAGGAGGCAGATCCTTATGTACCAACATGAAAAAAACTCCTTGATGACCCATGTAAACAGGAGACTAGATGTATACATCCAAGTGTGTACACACGTACATGCCCATGTGTACATATACATATTATACACAGATGTCTGTCACTATGCAAATTCTCACTATCTGAATGTCTACTATAACTTAGTAACTCTTTTTTTTTTTTACCTGAAATGTGCCATCCAGATCATAGATCTGCTGTATGAGGTTCACGAGCAGGTGCCAACGAAAACAGTGAACGTGTGGGCCAGGTGTGGAGGTTCACACCTGCAATCCCAGCACTTTGGGAGTCCCATGCAGGTGGATCACTTGAGATGAGGGGTTCGAGGTCAGGCTGGCCAACTTGGTGAAACCCCGACTCTACCAAAAATAGAAAAATTAGCTGGGCATGGTGTGCACCTGTAACACCAGCTACTAGGGAGACTGAGGCAGGAGAATCAGTTGAGCCCAGGAGGTGGAGGTTGCAGTGAGCCGAGATCATGCCACTGCACTCCAGCCTGGACAACAGAGGAAAACTGCCTCAAACAAAAAAAAAAAAAAGAGAAGAAGAAGAAAAAAGGGAAGGGGTGTTTCTGTCTGCAATGGAAGAGAAGAGGTCTGATGCACAGCGAAAGGCACACCAAATCTTACATGCTGCTGATTCTCTTGAGTTATTCTTTCATCCCAGGATTTGCTTCTGACAAGCTAAATACCAACCAGGGTTCAATTTAAATGACTCTTTAGTATTTTTAACAGATCATTTCATCATTTTTTCCATTATAGTACAAGGTAATTGGAGGATAGAAGAATATCACAATTCAGAACCATCACTGTATAGTATCCCATGTACTTTTTGCAAACCTGCCTTGTAATCAGCTCATCAAAGCACCCAAAAATTGGGTGTTTGTTGCTGTAGATGCTTTGTGTTCATGCAAAAAATACCGGTGGGCTGATTTTAGGTACTTAAGGGTGTTGAGTGATACTGAGGAAATTGGTTGGGGCATTTCAATCAGTTGGTAATGCATCAGCATTTGTCTTTGTGTGACGTGAAGTAATATACTGCAATCCAAAAACGTTCCTCTCCAGTGTGTTTTCAGGAGTGTACTGGATTCAGCTAAGAAGGAATGTGCCTATTTGTAGGTGTGCACCTGTGTGTGTAAAGGTGTGAGAAAGGGTACCAAAAAATGTCCACCAATTTCCTGACAACAGGCACCACTAGTGAGAAGGAGATGGGTAAATGACGGCTGGGGAGGGCTTTATCTGCACTGGTTACAATTTTTGCCAAGAGCACACAGTGACTAAAACAACACTTTATTCTGAAAGGAGGCTGTGGTCAGCAGAGCTCAGACCCCCCCTCTTGCAAGGTGGGGCTCAGTGGCCAAGTTTCCTGCTTAAAGAAAGTGAGAACCCAGCCACAGAAATGAGGCTTCATTTTTCACAACCCCATCCCCTTCCCAGCATCACCTCTGGTCTTCCCAGGTCCACCCCCCCCCCCACCATCCATCCCTCCACCCCTATCCCCTGCAAACCACCCCCTACACACCGAGTCTCCTGGATTTAGTCTCAAAAGCTGGTACCCCACTCCAGCCACTTTCCCTTGGCCCTCCCTGCCCACCCATCACCTTCTGGCGCACCCTTGGGGGTTTTGGGCCCCCTCCAGACAACTCATAACTTCCGGTCAGTCCCCGCTTTACACCATCAACCCCTTTGCTGGCCGGGCCACGACGCTGTTCATTAAGCTCCCATTTCCTTCCTCCTCCCTCTACCGATTATGTGTCTCTCATACTACTCACACCCTGGAATGTCGTCCGGCCCCTGACGCCAGGAACAAGGCCTTTTCCCCAATTCCCATACCTGGCCTCATGGGGCACCACCTGCCAATAAGCTTAACAGAAATTTCTCTCTGGAAGCTCTAGACATATTCAAGTGAGCACACAGACAGACAGAAGGCTTGGGCATCTTCCCACACATACTCCACCCTCTTTTCGTTCAGTCATTCAGTCAACCAGGCAGTCGCCGACCCCCACACTGAGCACTAGGGATGCCACACTGCAGCAGACATAGTCCTGCCCTCAGACAGCTCCAAGTCTGGGAGGGAGGACAGGCCCTGCTCAGACCAGCATATGATACATGCAAATCCACATCTCCATCCACATCTGCAACAGGAGAGCAAAAGAGTCCACGCTGAGGCGCCTCCCCAGCAGGGGAAAGTCTCCTCTGAGTGCATGCATCGCGGCTCAGTTCTGCAGACTGGAGCTCCCCTGGGAAGAAGAGGAGAAAGCCTCCCTTTTTAGGGAGTTCTGGAGTACAAAGACCTTGGTTCAAATCCTGGCTGTGCTCCCCAGGGATGCACAGGATCCTGGCCAAGTTCCCTCCCTTCTCTTTGCTCTTTCCTCCTCTGTACAAGCAGTGATGCCTATCATTGAGTCATCATGCAAACCCAACGAAATAACATGAAATAAAAACCACGTGGCTCCAGGAGGGCTGAGCCAAGGTGAGTTTAGCTACTAGGATGAAAGTTTTTCTGTACTACCTTGCAACACCACCTTCCCAGCTGCTGGTGGTTTCACTTTAAGTAAGAAGCCCCAGGTTGTTTACTGACCTCAGCCAAGGACCCAGCTTTAAGAGAAACCAAGGGTGTTAGGTTCTTTCACACATGTAGCAGCGTCTGACATGGCAGCTAGGGGAACAGGCGAGATGTAGAGCAGAACACATAATGACAAAAGGGGCTTCCGAGGCCCAACACAGACGAGCAGAAGGAGCCCAGCTCTGGAATAATCTAGCAGCCATGAGTTAAATCCAGCTCTTTCTCTCCTGGCTGCATGAATAAGCCTCTTTTTTGGCTATTTTCTCATCTATAAAATGGAAAAATAACATATACCCCATAGAGATATACCTGAAAAAACTGCAAAACTGTTTATGGGCAGGTGCAGTGGTTCACACCTGTAATCCCAGCACCTTGGAAGACCAAGGCTGGCAGATCACTGGAGGTCAGGCGTTCGAAACCAGCCTGGCCAACATGGTGAAACCCTGTCTCTACTAAAAATACAAAAATGAGCTGGACATGGTGGTGCCTGTAATCCTGTAATCCTGGCTACTAGGGAAGCTGAGGCAGGAGATGGTTTAATCCCAGGAGATAGAGATTGCAGTGAGCCAAGATCATGCCACTGCACTCCAGCCTAGACAACAGAGTGATACTCCACCTCAATCAATCAGTCAATAAAGTTTACTTTTAGGCTTGCAGATCCAGGGTGGGCCTGCCCTTACCTTCTTTGTTAAAGAGATAATAAACAACACAGTTGTTGAGACTGTGCTGAGAGCAGCGGGGAGAACCAGTCTCCTTCTTCCATGTAAAGAGACACTTCCCAGATCATTATACCCAAATTATTAGCTCTGTGATTCTAATGCTTCATTTTCATGCAGGGAAATAATGAACATTTAGCCTGGGAGTCTTATTTGATGGATAAGAGTTTGAACTGATGCTGGGGAAACTGAAGCTTCTCTTCCCTCTGCAACTCCCCCTCCCCAAGGGAGGAATAGACCACTCTCTGGAAGAGGCACTGAGGATACTCAGCCCAGCCTCCTCATCTTGTTCTGGTTGGATCCACCCCTAAGAGGTCACATGCCCTGCCCTTTCCCTGCCACTCAGATGGGGAGTGCCTCTAAGACAGGGGTCCCCAACCCCCAGGCCATAAACTGGTACCTGTCTGTGGCCTATTAGGAACCCGGCTGCACAGCAGGAGGTGAGCAGGGTCTAGCCAGCATTACCACCTGAGCTCTGCCTCCTGTCAGATCAGCAGCAGCATTAGATTCCCATAGGGGCACAAACTCTACTGTGAACTGTGCATGCGAGGGATCTAGGTTGTGTGCTCCTTATAAGAATCTAATGCCTGACGATCTGCCACTGTCTCCCATTGTCCCAGATGGAACTGTCTAGATTCAGGAAAACAGGCTCAGGGCTCCCACTGATTCTACACTATGGTGAGTTGCATATGCCGTTGAATCATCCTGAAACTATCCCCCCATGCCAGCCTGGCCCGTGGAAAAGTTGTCTTCCACAAAACCAGCCCCTGGTGCCAAAAAGGTTGGGGACTGCTGCTCTGAGACAACTATGGGCATCCACCACTTAAACTTGCTTTTTCGCCCTCCTGCTGGAAACTAAATTTAAATAGTGTCCACCTTTTGTCATGTCTTAACTGTGGTTTAATATATATTGAAAAAATACTTATCTGCCACCTTTAAACTGTGAAATCAAGTTTCTTTCCTACATAAAATAAAGTTTAAAAATAATGATCAATCTTAAAATAAGTATTAGATATAAGGCAGTACAGGTGGTTACAAATGTAACAAAAATTATTAAGGCAATAAAGGGCTCCTTACTTTATATACAACCTATTAATATTTTAATAGGCTAATTTCACTTTACTTTAAACCAGTACTGTATATCAAAATTACACAGAAAACTCTTATTATACAAAGACTAGATAGAGACGTTTTTTCCCCCCACACATGGACTGACCAGTTTTTGGTGGTAGGGGAAGGAGCCATATGCATTGTTACTCAAATTGCAAACATTTGTTTATCGACCTTATAAGATTTACTATATCTGCCTACTGCTGATACTATTTATCTGATAGTTTTTTTTTTTTAAATCAACTCAGCTTTTTCACCTGAACTGATATATGTTAAGAGTGATTTTATATTTTTGGCAAAAAGAAAACCAGTAACACTCACCATATACAATAGGAACTGCAAAATAATAAAATCAGTGGCAAGGGACAATATTGTTAAATTCTACCTACAAACAGTTGTCCACTTGAAGCAAAGCCCTCGCTTGGTTCTGAGTCATAAAGGGAGATAAGAGACCTTTAAGAGAGGCCAAAGCCAATTAGCCATGCAAGACTCACTGATGGAGACAGAAGTCAGAGTGGGGTCACCTAAGGAGAGGACTGGGTCACCGGCACCTTAGGATGGCACAGAGGTGTACCCATTTTATCACATCGATGTCATATATATATATTTTTTTTTCTTTAAGTTCTGAGATACATGTGCAGAACGTGCAGGTTTGTTACATAGGTATATATGTGCCATGGTGGTTTTGGTGGTTTGCTGCACCAGTCAACCCATCACTTAGGTTTTAAGCCCCACATGCATTAGGTATTCGTCCTACTGCTCTCCCTCCCCTAACTTCCCACCTGCCGAGAGGCCCTGGTGTGTGATGTTCCCCTCGTGTCCACGTGTTCTCATTGTTCAACTCCCACTTATAAATGAGAACATGTGGTTTTTGGTTTTCTGTTCCTGTGTTAGTTTGCTGACAATGATGGTTTCCAGCTTCATCCATGTCCCTGCAAAGGACCTAAACTCATTCTTTTTTATGGCTGGCTGCAAGTTATATTTTAATAAAGACATTTCCTATCTTTCAGGCCAGGAACGGTGGCTCACACCTGTAATCCCAGCACTTTGGGAGGCCAAGGCAGGTGGGTCACCTGAGGTCAAGAGTTCAAGACCAGCCTGGCCAACATGGTAAAACCTTGTCTCTACAATAAATACAAAAAAGCCAGGACATGCTGGCATGCACCTGTAATCCCAGCTACTCAGAAGGCTGAGGCAGGAGAATCGCTTGAACCCAGGGGGTGGAGGTTGCAGTGAGCCAAGATGGCACCACTTCACCCCAGCCTGGGAGAAAGAGTGAAACTCTGTCTCAGAAAAAAAAGAAAGAAATTTCAAAGAGAGACATGTTAACATTTTGGAAATGGAGTTGGTGTAACTATTAAGGGGTGACTAAGAAATCACTATGCTGCTTCAGTCTCTTGACTGTGATGGTACATACGGGACGCTATGCATGTGATAAAATCGTACATAACTAAATACACACAAATTCAAGGAAAATGGGAAATTTGAATAAGATCAGTGGTAGATTCTATCAATGTTGTCTATACTGATATCCAGTTGTGATACTGTACTGTAGTTTTAGAAGACATTGCCACTGGGGATAACTGGGTGACGTCCACATGAGAGCTCTCTGTATTATTTCTTATAACTTTATGTGAATCTTCAATAATCTCAACAAAAAATCTGATAAAAAAAACGCACAGTATCAAGGAGACAGAAAATAAAAGACATGTTGGTACCGAACAGATGTTCCTGTCGTCATCAGGAAGACGGAAAGGGAACTGAGAAGACGACCACGCTGCCAAACTCAGCTCAGTCTCCCTGGGCACCGCCTGGTGTTCATGCTTTGCCATGGCACCCACGGCACAGGGGTCCCTGCAGAGAGCATCCCTTACCCCTCCCAGTGGATGCTACCAGCCACCTCTGGGCTCCACCCTCTGCCAGAACCCATCCTATTTCCCGCCTGGCTAGAAATAGACATTCATGCAGCCTCCTGATAAGCTGGGCACTGAAACCCAGAGGAAGTGGCCTGCAGGGCGCCTGCTCTTTTGGAAAAGGCAAAGGTCTCACAGCTATAGAAGTCAGCTGGGAACACAATTCCTAGGAATGTCAGCAAGGAGTTGAGGTGGTCTGAACACCGGCAGAAGGCTAAAACCGGACTTCCCTTTTACAACAGCCTTTCACTTCATCACAAGCTTTTCTGACTTCCATCTGAAGCAGCACCTCACAGAGACGTATTCTCATTCTTTGAGTTTGCTAGTTTGTCTTCTTTTTTGTTTTTGTTTGCTTTTTACAGCAAAAGAAAAGTTCTGAGAATATAGACAACTACCTTAACTTTGGCTGCCTGGAGTAAATTCTAGAGTGCTAACTGATGTTGAGTCTCCCCATGGAGAACGCTGGTCCTCAGCTTCCTAAGGACCTTTGGCTTCAGAGAAAACCAAAGAAAAAAAAAGGGAAGGGAAACCACATTTATAGAAACACTTAGTACAAGCTAGTGTGCACGGCAGGGGTCCTGACACCTGTGCACTCATGTGAGGCTGAGATGATTGTCTTCCTACCACAGATGGGGAGGCTGAAGCAGAGAGAATCACTGACTCACCCAAGGTCACAATGGTTGAGCCAAAACTTGAACGTGAGCAGCCGGGCTCCAAAGCTTGCACTCTTGATCACTACCCAGGGATGGATGAAATGAGAAGCTGAGACCCAGGGTGCTCTTCCCTGCAGGCAGCAAGAACCTCTTGGCTCCAGAGGTGGGAATATGAGCCATGGCTGACACGTGGGCCAACACAGGGCACCAGGAGATCCACAATCCAGTCCCACGTCTGCCACTACCTTCCTATGTGACCTTCGGAGAGTCATTTTATCTCCCTGGGCCTCAGTTTCCCCACCTGAGAAATGCAGAGACTGGGTCACCCGAGGCATTTGGAAAGCCCCTAGGGTATGAAAACACTGGTTGACATCAATTCAGGATGAAAATGGCTCTCATCTTGTCCTTGGTGGTCCTGGAAAGGAAGTATAAGTGGCTAATGGTGAGGGTTGAATTGCAACCCCCAAAAAGATACATAGAAGTCCAATCTCTGGTATCTGTGAATGTGACCTTCTTTGGAAATTGACTCTTTGCAGATATAGTCAAGCTGAGCTCATGCTGGATTAGGGTGGGTCCTAACCCGAGACTAGCGTCCTTACGAACAGAGGGCAATTTGAACAGACACATACAGAGGCAGAGACGAGAATACCACATCCACCAGCCAAGGGACACCCAGGGTCACCAGAAGCCACCAAAGGTCAGGAAGAGGCAAGGAAGGATCCTCCCCTAGAGCCTGCAGTGGGAACACGGCCCTACCAACACCTTGATTTCGGACTTCCAACCTCCAGAACTGCAAGGGAGTACATTTCTGTTTTAAGTCACCTCAGTCTGTGGCGCTTGTATTATGACAGCCACAGGATACTAATATAGGTAATAACATGGTTTTCTTATTATCTTCAAGTATTATTATTATTACTGTGACAGAGTCTCTCTCTGTTGCCCAGGCTAGAGTGCAGTGGCATGATCTGGGCTCACTGCAACCTCTGCCTCCCAGGTTCAAGCGATTCTCATACCTCTGCCTCCCGAGTATCATCACCACACCCGGCTAATTTTTGTATTTTTAGTAAAGACAGGGTTTCACCATGTTGGCCAGGCTGGTCTCAAACTCCTGACCTCAGGTGATCCACCCGCCTCGGCCTCCCAAAGTGCTGGGATTACAGGTGTGAGCCACCGTGCCCGGCCGTGATCATTATAACAGCTACTTACTGAGAGTTCACTGTGTGTAAGGCACTGTATTAACTGCTTCACTTAAATTATCCCATTTCACGCTCTCAGCCACGCTATGACAGAGAAGTCATTATTATAAACATTTTGCAGATGTAAGATACTAAGGCTCAAAGCAGACATGGAGCTTGTGCAAGGTCCCACAGTGAATCAATAACAGAGCTGACACCAAACTAAGTAAGTGGCACCTGGAAGGCCCAGCTTCCTCCTCTGCCTCCTCCCACTGAGAAAAATAGCACCTATGACACCAGGAGGTGGGTAATGGGCCTCTCCCCTGCCTCATGGGGCCTGTCCTCCAGAGAGCAGGTTACAGCAAGGACTTGCCACATTCGCAGTAATACCCCGTTCTGCAACGGACCAACG